GTGTTTAATTTGTAGTATGATTATGATCTCCTTTTTTCACGTACAGTCAAATTGAATTTGATTTGAATTGGATAATTTCATTATATACAATGTTTGATGACATTTAATTTATTTGATTGAAGTACATTATGTACAATCACCGCGTTGCTAACAAAAACTTAAGTATTGGATATCTTTGTAATTAACATGTTAACAATTACAGATAATGTTGTGTGTTAAAGTTCAAGAAAGATGGAGTAACAACTAATATTGGTAAAATTATATGAGAATTCTAAGTCAAAAGTTTATTTTATTTTACATTAATTAGCTTCTAGATTTAACAAATATTCGTTATATGACTTGTACCTCCACAACCACATGTAATTAGAGATTATTTTTAAAGAGACTTAGGGCCTGTTCTCTTCCGTTGAAATTCAGTTCAATTCAGTTCAGTTCAGCTCTTAATTTACGTCTAATGATATTGCTAATGATATAAAACCAAATTTTATTCTTTTAAGCTCTTATTACAACGACGACGACAACAACAACAACAACAACAACAACAACAACAATAATAATCAATAAATAATAATAATAATAATTGAAATAATAATACTAATAATAATAATCAATAAATAATAATAATAATAATAATAATCATCAATAAATAATAATAATAATAATAATAATAATAATAATCAAAATTAATAATAATAATAATAATAATAATATGTACATTTGTATATACACATATGTATAGTAATAAATAATCAATAAATAATCAAAGATCACTGATCCGTAGTTAGAAATCACTAATTAATAAGTTCAGTTCAGTTCAGTTCAGCTCAGCTCAGCTCAGTTCAGTCAATCGGAACATGCCCTTAGTTAAAATCGAGTTGACATCTTTACTTTGATTATATTAGTAATTAAGCTTCTATCCTCAACTTAATCTATGGGTTTCTAATTTCTTATGACTAGGGACTTTTGGTTAATCAACAATTTTTATAAAATAAAAAAGATTCAAAATTTCTACACTTTATAAAAGAATTCAACCATTCAAATGGAAAACAGTAAAATTAGTTATATTAAGTGAACTTTAGGTTGTAAAGGGTTAAGAAAGAGGTAGATTCCATTTACATAAGCAAATCTATTTTAATTCTTAGCACGCGCTTTAGAATAAATTATTGACATCATATCAAAATATCGCCGAAAGAATGAAATAGCTAAGGACAGTTTTCTGTTAAGAACAAATTCAGCATGAGCATGCATTCAAAATTAAAGTTATGGTCAAACCGAATTTTAAAGGACTTCAACCCAATGCAACGAGCTTTCACTCCGCCGTTGATTCTTGTAATTTATTCTCCAACGGTTTATTTGTTGTTGAAATATATCCTACCAAATAACACATGTAAGTTTTTTATATTGGTTGAAAAATAGAGGATTAATCGCTTTATAAGGCTAAGGGATTACTTCTCCTACTGTCATATGGTTTTGGAATAAAATCTCTTTTAGTCTTGTAAAGTGGACTCTCACTCTTGATTTGTGGGTGCGGCCTAGACCAGTATTTAACATTTGTGTCGTTACTCGTATTAGATTAATTATACGGAATTGCGGACAAGCTTGTAAATTTAGTAAACTTAAGTTCAATATTGCTACATAACTGGAGATAGTTCATTACAATATAAACTCAGTATTAGTTAGTAAGTTTTTTTGTATATATATATATTTATTTTACCAATTCAAAAACTATTACAATACGAGTACTTCGTATAATTTAATTTCATTCTAATTAAATTAATTGACGCATGATTATTTGTTGAAAGTTTTTCCCATAGTTAAATTTGTTTGATATAAAAATGAAATGTGCTTGTATTTTTTAATAGTTGATGCATGGAATATAATATACATATATTGATTTATTAGTCAAATAGAAATATGCATGTAATTAATTTCAGCCATGAAAATGGTACTCATAACATTTTATAAGATGTATGTAGTATTTACCCAACTACAATAGTTGGGTAGCCATTATATTTCAAAGCCATGATATCAATTGAGGAGTGAGGGGATGGAGGGATGGTTGGTCCCTCCATCTCCCCCCCATGTGATGGGGATTCGACTCCTCACATCCCCACTCCTGAGATAGGATGGGACCCCTCCCAGTAGTTTACTGGTCAAAAAAAAAGATGTATGTAGTATTTAGAATTAATAAGTATGTACTTCATAACAATTGTATATAAAGAAAAATTGGGAAAGAATTCCACAAAATGGTATGTGTCAATTTAGATTCGTCTTAGCCTTTTTACTTTTCATACCAACATTCATCAATCCGTGATTAGATCTATATACTTTTTTTTTTTTTTTTTTTTTTTAATTTTTTTTTTTTATGAAACAATCTATATACTTATTTATATATACTCTTCTAGTCTCTGTTGTATTAAAGTGTAAATCTTTTACATCCACAACGTATCAAATTATGTCATGTTTACGAACATCTAGATGAAGAAAAATCTACTTTTTTTTTTCTCATTTATTAATTGATCTATAAGATTGAGCAAATTAAATAGAGGCTACATGTCAATTGCTTGAGAGAGAACATCTAGAGAAAATAGAAAAAACGGGCACATCCTTTGAATTGAACCTTCCAAGACCCACACACGTACTCAGTGGCGGATCCAGAATTTCCGAGATAGTGTGTCACCATCAATTATTGATCATTTGTGAAAGTACAATTTTTTTTTTCCATGTCTTGTTCATTATTAATTTCAATCCAAAAATTATATATATATATATATATATATTTCACCAAATTGATTTCAATCCAAAAATAGGACACAAAAATTCATACCACAACCAAATACAGTACTTAAGAATTCAATTTTACAAGTCGAAAATACTACAAATAACATGTTATAAACAAATGGTACAATAAAATTATTATATTGAATTAACTTTATGATTTTTTAGTTAATTGATAAGCTTTATGGGGAAATATTAAAATTGGTTGTACAAATATAAGATATAAAAAGGGAAAAAAAATTATTAAAAAATTATACAAAAAAAAGTGAGATAACTTAAGAGACCAGTTATTAAATATAACTGGTCTCTTTAATGAAAAAAGAAAGTAGCGCAAAAAAATTGCGAAATGCAATAGCAGCATTAAAGAGACTTCTTATATAAATAACAGGTCTCTTTAATATTTAAAAAAACCACAGCAAGTCTTTTGTAGCAATAGCAGCATTAAAGAGATCTCCTATCTTAATAAGAGGTCTCGTTGATATTGTTTGTTGTTACCAATAGCAGCATCAAAGAGACCACCTATCTATAATAAGGGGTCTCTTTGATATTTTATTTTAAAAAAAAATACTGTGTCACCGACCTTCTATGACTAAAGGTGGATCCGCCCCTGCACGTACTCACTATTTACAATTGTCTCCATGCAAACGTAAGTGAAAGTAGTCAATCCACCTTATTAAGGATAAGGCATTCGAATTGATAACTATCATTGAAATTTCTATACAATTTTAATTAATTTTTTAAATTATGACTATCATTGATTTGAATGAATGATCGGTAAGTTCACTAGAAATTGTCTCCACTTTTTAAATAGTTATTCTAATTAAGTGATAAATGTTATAATCTATCACATCTTTTTTATGTGGTCGAGGAGAATTTTGGGGTATTGTTTACATTTTGGTCTATATGCTCTTGTAAAATTAAAACAAAAGAAAATAGAAAAACTTTTTCCATTAGTTCAAAGTCTTAAGATAGTGACAGTGTAACAACACATCATTAGTGTTATTGTACATTTGTACTAGGAGATCAATATATTCTCTATAATTTTCATTCTCACCCGAGCAAGGCCATTGACTATGGAATTTTTACCAAACAAATTAAAGACATGGTGCGTGTATGATGAATAGTATTTTGTTTACATTGAATTTTAATTTGAAACTTGTTTCAATAATACTGTAATAAATACTGCAACAATTTGAAAAATATGTGAGTTAGAGTCTGTTTTCTTCGGCTTAATTTTAGTTCAGTTCAGTTCCTAATTTCCTTCTCTCATAAATAATTTACTCCAATTCAGTTCAGTTCAGCTTAGTTTAGTAAATCAAAACAGACCCTATATAATTAAATGATCAAAAAAAGAAATATGTAATATAGTATATAATTACAAGAAAAATGTTCCTTCTATCCCACAAAAGATTTATTTATTGAACTTTTTTTTATACGAAGTATATATTCGCCATATTAATATAAAAGCTAGGTAATACGCACATAATGTCCAACCATTATACAAATACAAACGATCAATATTAACAAGAATGAGTTATTGGTATTATACCAAAATTATCAAAAGTTAAACGTGACATATTGTTCAAAAATACTCATGGTATTTCTTCAACATTATAAGTGTTTGCATATAAATAAATTACGGAGTAAATAGTATGATCCAAATTAGCGATAAGCCGATAATTAATAAGGTAAGGTAACTAGGCAATCTTACATAAGATGTCACTAGCCTTTTCTTTTCTCTTGGCCCTAAGCCCTAACACATTTTTAATCTATTACATTGATTTTTACCGAAAAAATACAACTTGATGTTAACATTTTTTAAATTATTATTAATTATTATCAAAACTTTTTCAAAAAATGATATTCAAACCGCACATAAAAAAATAAAATAGCAAAAAAAAAAAAAAGTATTTCATTCATTTTTCACATGTCCAAAAGAGAAAAAAAAAATCATCATCTATAGTTATTGGCTTATTGCATCAACATTGATTCACAAAATCATCGATCCTATATTAAGAAAGATAACTAGATTGGTTTAATAATATCCAATGTGACGAAAATCAACAATTTACCTTAATTTAATATCCGCCAGTGGTTTAGGTTGGTAAATTAAGTTTAATTTAACTCTTATCTTAGTTAATTATATTTTCCATTATTTGGTCTGTCTTTCCAAAGTTCACACCGTACCAACCATCAAGTCTTTCCTATATATACTCTCCATCTCTCCTCTTTTTTAGAATTATCTCTCAAACAACTCATCTCTATTTTTCTCTCTCTCTCTACTCTTATTATTGCCTTGTTATTAAGGAATTACAAAGACCCAAATAAACCAAAGTTGTAGCAAATTAAATTATAATGGCGAAATTCAGCGCACTCTTTTTGATAGCTCTTATTGTTTGCTCTACTACTCTAACTTTTGCTGTTCGTCCTATGCAAAATTCTCCTCATGGGGTAAGTAGTATATATTCTTACATTTTGTTATTGTGCATGAATTATATTAACGGGTGTGGCCACAATGCGTAATCCTCCCTCTGTCTAGATTTAGTTGTACGTAATCACGTTGTTGATATGGGGTAAGTACTCGTAATTGAGTTACTCAATAAACAAATAAATGTCACCTCGTTAGTATGGTAAGCACTCGTAATTGAGTTACTTATTAAACAAATGAAAAGTGATACACTAATTCCAGACAGAGGAAGTAATAATGCGTCTAAATTCGTAAGTTTAATTTGTGAATGTAAAATTAGGCTATAATGTAATTATTCCTTAAAAATAAAATTAGGCTAATTATCATAGCTAATTTTTGCGTTGAATTATGTTAAACAGGATTCAGAAAAAGAAAATTTGAAGGTGAATGATATTGAAAATTGTGAAGGAGCTAGTGATGAGGACTGTTTGCTGAGGAGAACACTCGTGGCTCATACTGATTACATCTACACTCAAAGCCAAAATCCTTGAATAATATACTTTTTAATTATATAATACTCCCACCCGTACCTCGTACGAGTATATGATTTCAGATTTCACAGGATTTATCTTTTGGAGAATTTAATGTTAATTACGTAGAGTATGATTACCATTTACTACTTGGCCGCTTTATCAATCTAGATTATATGAGTATATTATAGTTACTTTATTTAATATTTCTTTCCATCTTTTTTGTTCTTTCTCTTTTTTGGCTTACAAAAAGATTTCAAATGAGAAAAACAAGACATATCGAAAGAAATAATATGTAATAGCACATATAATTAAGAAATTTCTTTTTTTTTTCTTTTTTTTTTTTTTGAAATAGTTTGTGTACGAATTTGACCAGCTTTGTATTTGCTAGAAATTTCTCTTCTCACCCTTTGTTATTACAATTAAAGGATATATAAGTTAATCTCTATGATTTGTGAATGGTATAAAACACACCTCAAATAGCTAACCAACACGATTTTAATTCAATATATTACACGAACTAATATGACAATATTCATATAATAAGGAGTATGTCATAAATTGTTATAAACTACCATCGCTCGTGAGTCGTGACAACAAGGAAGTTTTGGTACATGAGGCCAACAAGGGATGCCGATCATTCAATAAGTGGAATAAGACAATAATAACCTAGAGCACATTATATCTCACTTGTTATTTGTTAAAAAATATTCAATATCACTCGTTCTCATAAATAATTTATTTTTATTTTTTTTCATAATATATTACTCTATTATTCCTATTACACATAGATAATATACATGGTTTACAAACAATTGATTAACCACCTTAATGAAATAATGTGAGAGGATTACTATGTTTTTCTAAAGTAGGAAGTGACATTTTGTATATTACTTGTAACAATAGTATTAAATAATCTTTGACTTCTTATATATTTCATTAATTCTAATATCATCAAGAATCAAGTTAGACTTTACTTCCATTCAAATAAAAATAAGGATAGACGATGACCTATACGGGCATACGGCTATACTACTATTCGTTCGTGCATTAATCATATGATGATAATATAATTTCTACCCCTCTTTTTGTTTTTAAAGAACCATCCAATAGTAGCCCCGATTTCAAAAAATCATGTGTTTTGGACAATTTGTACATTAAATGCCCTAAACATAATTATCGTGATATGAAAATTTTGACTTATTAGTTATCTTTTGGCTTATTTAAAGTCGCAATTAAAGATACCCAATAAAAAAAAGTATAAATACACGTAAAATCAACCCATTAATAAGGAAGAATAACAAAAACATACGAGCACTTACGTATTAATAAATTTAGATACTTAACATTAATGGCGTTTACACTACATCAACCCCCCCCCCCACCCCCTCCTATCAAATGAATGGTCCAAGTGAACTATAGTTATAAAAAAAAAAAATGGTGTTTGATTTGAATGCTTCATTAGAAGGTTGCTAGCATGGGGCATATACTTGACAAAAACTTAGGAGAGTGCATGGGATGGGGCCATTCTAGAAGCTTGAGATTAAATTGCGCAGTAGCTTTGCTACTAAATTGGTTAGGTAGTTTTCAAATTGCATGTTACATGCATATATGATATATCTTCCACCTAGCTACCATGCAAGCTTGCTATTTCTTTCTTTATCTGTTCTTAAATTTTGTCTTTGATGATCTGTATAAAATCTTTTGAATATTAATAAATATGTCTCTGTCACATAACTCAAATTCAAACCCACGGGTAGTTGCCGGTTGAGCATAAGTGTCCCTGCCGGAATTTTGATGTGGAGAGATCAAAACCTTACAATTATAATAATACAATGTATGATGACAATGCCTTTTACAACTCTAGAGCGGTCACATCGATTGGTTGTGCACTTGTGCGGGCTGGAATCGAACCACGTCATTTTAAATTTGAGTCATGTTAATCATTGCACCCATTTGAATCAAATTCTGGTTCAAGTCACTTCGGGATTAGCCAAGTCCTTTTTTTTTATAGCTCTCGACTGCTTTAGCTCCCCAAGATGAGTTTTAGGGTAGCTAGCAAAAATTTAAAATTTGGGTGAGTGATACAAAGACTTTTAGTATATATTATACACAAAGTATACTATATGAGTGCAACATGTTACATAAATGAAGTTCACCACCTTAATTTTAATCAGCTGGTACAATATACACTCACTAATGCACAGGGTGTATGTGTATGAAATCACACATTAAAATAGATTCGGTTTTATAACTGAATCCCACTTTTTTGTGAATATGAAGGACATGCAAGATTATTTCGTCCTATTTTTCTTCCATTAAAATAAGTGCATTTATAACTAAATCCCACATCACCCACAAAAATTAGGCCAATGAACTGTATTATCTAGAATTAGTCAATAAGCTGTAAAGATTCAAACTATTTGACCCCAACAAAAAATTGTAGCTTGGAAGAAAATGCTGAATATGTAATATATAAAATACTATATGTCTTCAATACATCTATCTAAATGAATAAATGGTCATGCATGGCAGACTGATCTAAGCTATGGTAGCCAAGTGAGAGTATTAATTTGAGTTAGCTTACAAGTCTTTAACTCTTTATGAGAGTACACATAAAAGTGCGCTAACAAAAAATAAATGTGATATGATGTTCTGGATTTCTTTTGAGTTTTTTTTTTACTAAATCTTTCTGCATGGGCCTGACCAACACAACAAGGCCTTTTTTCTTGACTTTGCTATCTCATTGAAGAACCACCATTTTTACATTAATTTTCTTTTTGCCCTTTTTTTTGGGGGGTAATTTATTGCATTCTCACAAGTCTGAGGGTTTTTGTTTGTTTGTTTTGGGCAACACTTGTGAGTTGTTAATACAACAAAAAGGGAAAAAAAATATTCTAATGTTACCCAAATAAAGTAAATGAGGGTATTGATGATGAGGTGATATATATATAAATGAAATTAATGTCTTTTGTCCAAGTCATTTTGGTGGGTAGATGACAAATCAAGATGTATGTGATGGATAAACAACTTCTTATCATGTATACAATGCAATTATTCTTCCAGACTATCATGAATTAATAGAATATAAACTCAATCTTGGATCTTAATCATTAGTTTAAATTTTTTTAGTTGAATCAGTCCTTTAACATAAATCTTATAAAAAGAAAAATGATAACTTTATTTAAGATAAGTTTATATTAGTCAAAACATATAAATTACGGACTATATAAAGTACTCAATATTGTCGTACTGTACTAATCTAATCCAACGTCCAACTATAGTTCCAAATCCAATTCTACAAACAATTTTTTTTTTTTTTTTTTTTTTTTTTTTTTTGAGGAAACAAACAAATTATTTTTGATTGCTACCTCTAACTACTAACAAACTTAATTTAGAATCGTGTATCTTTCTCTTAAAATAAATAAATACCGAGTAAATAAATAAAACTTATTAGTACTCCATTATTTAGAGAACAACAATAACATAACATTATTATGACCATAAACGCAAACATCTACTACGGGTTATGTTTTGTGGACAAGGGTTGAGCCCAAGTAGAAATTGGGCCTTAAAGAATAAGTAAAACAGCCCAAAGTCAAAGCCCAGTGTTAATTTCAGGAGAGAGAAAGAACCCTAAGAAGGAATTTGAGAAATAGGTGATCTTTTAGAAAGCAACGAAGAGATCAACAATATGTTTTACCGACGTCGATTTCCGTCGATTCCCTTGGTTGCTGGTGCTGTCATGTTAGTCCTTTCATTTTTCTTCTTTATTTGCTTTTTCTTCTTTTAATTTCGTTTGTTTTGATTAAATTTGTCTTTGATTGAATTTTGTAATTTTGATTGAGCTTTATGAATTTTGAATCAATGTGTTTGTTAAAATGGATCGAAATTCGGATTGCCTTTGAAAATTATGCTGCTTATTACTTAAAATTGGTTAGAGAAATGGAAATTTCTTATTTCAATGGTTAAAATGAAGAAATTTAATATTTTTCTGTTAGCGTTTTTCTTCAGAAATGTCAAGGAGATGATTAATTTTGTAAACTTTGCCCATTTAAGGGATTTTATTTTGTTCGATAGCTGTCGAGTTTCGGTTGAATTTCCTTGTGTGTTTGGATGATAATTTGAGATAATGATCAATTTTAAGGGGAGTGGCGAAGTAGTGATGCAATTTGGGAAAGGAAAAGGAATGACGATTTATAATCATCTTCCTGGTTTTAAATCAGATCAATCCAAAATTAGAAAGATTTCGATAGCTCACTCGGCTATTTGACACACAATATGGTAGTAGCAATGTAGCATATGTTCCAATTGCGAGTTTGTCATAGTTGTTGCTGTTATTGTTGTTGTTGCTGTCGCTGTTGTTATAGTTCACTTGCAAATTCGAGTATATCAGTAGCTGTTGCTGTTATAGTTCCAATTGCGAGTTTGTCATAGTTGTTGCTGTTGTTATAGTTCACTAGCAAATACGACTGAGTGGAGCAATGTCGCCCTTAAATTGAATCCAAGAGTATGCTCCCGTACCTCATCCCTGCACATTGATGCCTAACAGCTGAAGGCCACTGCTTTATCTTCTATTCAGTAGCAAAGCTTTTGTTTTTGACAATCCTAGCATATCAATTATAATGCCATTTATTTCTTGATCTTCCTTTCTCAATCAATGAACTCATGACTTGGTGCAAGGTCTGTTGTAGCTCTTTACCAAAAGGAAAGTTCCACCTCTCCTGGTTGAGATTTTAAATCTTTGATTTATTGTTTCACTCAATAGCCGGTGTCAACATAGACATGCTTAATTTTGGGCATAATAGATCCCTATTTTTCGGCCAGCAACTCACAACCAATGTCTGTAAATTGTGAGTGCTTCAATATACTTTTGCACAAGGATGCTAATTGTTTTATGTATTTTCTATGTCACCGATGTCATAGAATCTTTGCTTACGCCTGTTCAAGATTTGCCAAAAGCATTTGGTCTACTATAAGTTCTATTAAAATTCTTCGGGGTATGAAGAGGATGAAAAACACTTTTCGTATCCTCTCCAGTCCCCACCCCCTTTCCTCCAATTCTTCATGATTTTCCCTTTGTGATGCTTAAAGTTGAATTGTGATGTTTAGATTCAAAGCAGAGTAGCTGAACACCATACATCTAAATGATTTGATGTCTAAACTCTCAAGCATTGGTCTTTTTAGGTTTATCTAAGCAATGACTCGAGCTAG